TTTGTTCTGAAAAAGCTGACAAAAATATCTTACTAGAAGTGAAACTTTTCAGCACTGTGGGGAAATATATTGTATTGTCAAGAGCTCCCTCTACTGAAATCTCTGCGTGATACTGTTTTCAACATGCACACTGTAAACATATTGCCATATATTGAGAGCCTCATAAAAGTTAGTCTACAAATGTTTGTTTTTTTGCTTTTGTGTTCTGCAATTGTAACTTATAATATATATAACTCATGTAAGTATATTCGAATACCATATATTGTTTTTACAATTCTTTCAGAAATTACTCACATATTTAGCATGTTTCATTTCCTTTTTTTTACCTTACACATTGAACCTAAAGTGGCTGAAGGTTGAGTGAAGGTGTGATCACATAGTTACAGCACCCTCAAGGGACTTGACATTAAAAACAGCTTGTGTCATTTGAAACTATGACGAACTATTGAGACGCTTCATGATGAACACAAACACACACGCGCACATAAACAACACATGCTCAGCAACTGAATCAAGAAAGTGGGAATGACTCTAGACTTCTGTGCAAAGTGACATTTAAATCAATAAGTAGTTTGATTGAGACTGTTTACTTGGAAAAGACCATGAAAATTGTCATAGTTCAGTTTTTATTTGTAGTTTGAATTAGTTTTAAAGTTTTTTGTGTGTGTGTTTTGTCTTTGGTTTGTTTGCTTGACTGCTTTGTGTTTTTTATTTCTGTGCAGCCTTATTGTTATTTTGTTTAATTTTTATACTTATACACTTTTTTAAGTTAAACAGAGTATTGAAACATTTTCTTTGCAACTAGCAGAGATAAAACAAGTTAACATTTTAGATATTTTACTTTTCAGTTAACAAGTTGCAAAAAGTGTATTTCATATTTCCGTGTAGCCTTGTTGTTATTTTATATAAGTAATCTTTTTAAGTTAAACAAAATATTGAATCATTTCCTTGGCAACAAGCAGAAATAAATTAATTAATAAGTTTAAATATTTTACTTTTTTCAGTTAACAAAAGGTACAAAAAATGTTTGTTTATGAAATGATTTCAGTCAACTCAAATAATTAAGTTTTTCAAATTATTTATTAAACTGTGTCAGCTTATCAGTGCCGTCACTAAACAGTAAAAATACTGTTAAAATAAACACCACTATATGTTATTTAACAAATCAATTTTACTGTATAAACAGTGAATTCAAATTGTGATTCATTCCAATCACATCGAGATTTAGCTTCATGCTAATGTTGTGAGACGACATGCATCAGTGCCCTGCATTCCTGCAGTCATAATGCTGGGAACAGAACTAATATGACTGTAATGGACCACTCAGAGGTGAAGCAGAGCTCTAATGTATTTTCCATCTGTTAATATTTAATGCAATGATGTAGACGTCATTACGCTTTTGACTTAATTACCCCTCTACTGGTCGCTCCAGCTTACTGATGACCTCGGTAACTGACAGTGTCACAATTACATCAGTTCAGTCTTAATCAATGTCTAATTTACTCATATAACTGCAGGTGTTTGGATGGATAAATGAATGTAAGATGAGCAACAGCTCGTTCTTGTTTATGTATTAAAATATCGATTTACATTTTCAGATTGTTTTAGAATGTTTTGAAGTGTTAGATTTCCCAGAGATGGGTTGCAGCTGGAAGGGCATTCGCTGCGTAAAACTTATGCTGGATAAATTGGTGGTTCATTCCACTGTGGCGACCCCAGATTAAGTAAGTGATAAAGCCGACAAGAAAATGAATGAATGAATGAATGAAATACTAGAATTTAAGCCCTGGGGCAGCATGGGGGCTTAGTGGTTAGCACTTTCACCTCACAGCAAGAAGGTCATTGGTTCGAGTCCTGGCTGGATCAGTTGGCATAGCTGTGTGGAGTTTGCATGTTCTCCTCGTGTTAACGTGGGTTTCTTTGCTCCTGGTGCTCTGGTGTCCCCCATAAGACATGTACTATAGGTGAATTGAATCAACTAAATTGGCCATAGTGTATGATAGAGTGTGTAAGGTGTGTAAAGTGTGTTTCCCAGTACTGGGTTGTGGCTGGAAGAGAACATATACTAAAATAGTTGGCAGTTCATTCTACTGTGGCGACCTCTGAAATAGATACTAAGTTAAAGGAAAATAAATAAATAAATAAATAAATATAAGTCCCAATATGCACATCAGACACTTGACAAGAAGCACCATGCTGCATCTATGACTGCTTGAGGAATTGCACACTGGACTCATGTTCCATCGTGAATAAAGTACATCCAGGAGGTTGTTTTTGCACAATTAAGCCTGACAGGCTTATCTTGTATAGGACTGAAGGGCTTTATTCTGCAGGAAAACTGCCATAAAACTTACATTAAAACACAAAACATTGATCTAAAACGTAATAGTTTATTAACTAATTCTTAATTAAATGCAAACCTGACAAAACAGCTGATGGAGTATACACTAACCTCCGCACTTGTTCAGTAACAAGATGGTGGCAAACAGTTAAAAACACGAAGTAGACAGAAACAAAACTGACTGAATAAAAAATAGACTTTTCTATGTATTATTCACCAAACCATTAAAAACTGTGGCATGAGAGACAAGCAAATACATATGAATGTGGATGCTAATGTATGGATTTAAACGGATTCACTGACGGTTAAGGTGATTCAAAGTTCCCGGATGACCTGTGTTATCTGGTGGTTGTTATCTCGGGATAAAATAATTTGGAATTTCGCAACTGACCTATTAAAATCGAGTATTCTAGACAGCCAAGTAATAAGCAAATATAATATTATTTATTATGAATTTATGCAAATTGTGCACTGTTGATGCTTTCAAGTCATAAATCAATATTTACGAGTTGAACGTCGAACACAATCAGCACTACAAATTCATTATTACAAATCGAAAACTCAAAATTCTCTTAAATTCCAGAGTTTCTGAGCTAATGTCATTAGCTACATTTCCATCCACCTATTTTTATGTGCATTTTAGAGATGCGCATAAAAATCAGTTGATGGAAACAGCAAGATGCGCATCAATTTTGAAAATGCGCATTAAAATATGTTCGCGTAACTGAGTAGGAAAAACTTTTTATTTGATAAGAAAAGATCTGCAAAAACTAGGATGGAAACACTTTTACCAAACAAATTCCAGCATGCGCATTTAAAAAAAGTAGTGTGATTTTTGTTATGAGCGATCAGTGCTGTCGTCATCGTCTTCTGAGGCTCAAGTCATTTATTAAATAAGGAAAAGATTTGTGCAGCTTCCCCTACCACAAAATACATTTTTACTGTTGATATTTGCCGCCAGTTAATCAGAAAGTGACGATTTTGTTCTCTTTAACTCGTTGGATGGAAACCCTGCTTTATTCGCACATCTTTTATGCGATATTCTAGTTTTGCGCATAAAGTAATTCTCATTTTTTGGTGGAAACATAGCATAGTGAAATTGAAGGATGCAACAACTGTCATGTGTTTATTAAAAAAATTTAAACTTTTTGAGTATGACAAGATAAAAGATGTAATTTAACAATATAAAAGTTTAAAATGATTAGCTTAAAGTGGCTAAATAAACTATTTAACAAAAATGAAAATGCAAAACACGCCTAATGCAATTTCTTTATTACAGCTATCAAAAGTAACTTTAACGCACTTGACGTCATAGTTACGACTTGTGAAGTACGAGCTTTCCAGAAGGAATTGAACGCAGCATGTGACATGACATACGCTCACATAAAACAATATGTATCATTTCACTGCATTGCACTTCTAGTCTGGTGTGCGACCTGCTTCAGAATATTGCGCAACATCAACATTTAAATCTCCATACATTAAGAGGAGCAGGGTTTTCATGTTACACACTCTTGTTCTTCAGGATTTACATTCAGACTTGCACGTTCATATCTTGTGCATCAGTATCTGCACGCATATGAACAACCATTTAGCAGTGATGCGTTTGTTTGAACGATCTCAAACGGATTTAAAGTCACTCTCGTTTCTATATGTTTCGACAAGTATGACACATATAGATGTTAACAGATATCATCTATATGCTGGTGACTTGACTGACTTTACAGCATTTCCGAGCTCGGTTCCCGATGAGAGATGTCATACTTCGACTGAAACGTGTTTTATTCGTGCTGCACGTCTCGGAAATGTCACACATGGGTAAAAGCCTGGTGTGTTGTATTCACACTTTAAACCCACTGTACCTTTTTCTCCGAGGCATTGATTGCATTGGTCCTTTAATATTGGTGACAGCTAATACACTCCTAAATGATCGGTTATTATCTCCGGGGCCTTGTTCCATGTGCCCCGCTGTTTCCAAAGGTCATCCCTCTGTCTTCCTGTATCGACCGGCTCGCCTGTTAACGTGGCCTAAGACTTATTGAAAGTGAAGGTTGAGGAGCATATTTCCATCAGGTTGCAGTCTTCTCCTTCACGAGACGGCTTTTAAAAGGCTCTTTTGAGCATGTCCATTCAGAGAGAGGGGACAGGATGAGAAAACATAATGGATATGCCAATACAGGCAAAAGCGCCCTTAAAATGCTTGCGGTTTCCCACTGGTGTAAGTGTATCAGCGTCTAGGTTTAATACGATAAATTTAACGCTAGATTTGCTCTATTGTATGTGTGTCATAATCTGTAGCTTCGTAAAAATGCGCCTTGTCTTGACATTCTTAAATCAAGAAGCATTTACAGACAAGCAAAAATTGACTTGTTTTCAGAAATCATAAGTAAAATGACTTGAGTTTTTCTTTGAAACAAGCAAAATAACCTGCCTATGGATTAAATAAAATGATCCTGTTCTTGTTTTGAAATTAGATTACTAAAGTCTTTATTATTGTCACGTTATTAAATTTAAATTTGTTATTTCTGAAAACAAGCCAATATTGTTTTTTTGTCTAGAAAATGCTTCTTAATTTAAGCATTTTTAGATATTTGAGCAAGAAACAAGACAACAGTGCTGTTTAAAATACTAACAAAGCATCATTTTTATCTTTCCACAGCTGTACGAACTAGACGATGATGAGAAGAGGAAGGAGTTTCTTGACGATCTCTTCAGTTTCATGCAGAAAAGAGGTGAGTCTTGTTTTGTGGAGCTGGTCAGATAGCAAATATCAGAAGCACACACCCTTTCACACCCATGGCGCAAAACCATATGTTGGCTTTAGATGGTGATGTTTAGATAAGGGTAATTATTGGATTTGTGGATGCTTTTTTAGCCAGGTGAAATTGTGTTCATCAAATAACCGAAGAAACATTTTTAACTCTCAGTTCATGTTTGAATTTTGGGTGTGTTTTTTTAATGGTGTTGGTGAAAACGACCAGTTAAGATGAGGCAGGACATACTGTCTTCACTTGACTTTTCAGTTTTACCCACACCATAAAAACACATTTGACATAATAATACTTTTCACACATTGCAGAAATAAAAATTAGAACATACACACTGTAAAACTGCTTTTCTTACTTTGAGTTTTTGTCTTGTTTCTAGTCCAAATATCTAAATATTCTTAAATCAAGAAGCAGTTTCTAGACAAGCCAAGAACATTGTCTTGTTTTCAGAAACAATATGCCAAAATGAAGTGATTTTTATTTAAAATAAGTAATCTGCCTATTGGCTTAGTCAGATATTATTTATGCAACGAGAAAACAAGTTAATTTTGTTTACCTCATTGGCAGATTATTTTGATTCAAGTATTTTTAGATATTTGGACTTGAAACAAGACAAAAACTCTCAAGTAAAAAAGCAGTTTTTTGCAGTGTATAATTTTTTTTTAATTGTATGATATTATATTTAATTTTATTTAAAGAAACAACATTGTAACTGTAACATGTTTTTAATTTTATGTTATTATTACTGTGTATTTACATTTTTTATTATATTATTTTATTAGTAGTTTTAATTATTACTTTTTAAAATTATTATTATGATTTTTACCAATTTCTTTCTTCTTTTAACCTTAAGTAGCAGTTTGTGGCACAAACAGCACCAAGATCATGGGTTTGAGTCTTAGCAAAACTACCATGAAGAAACCGGAACTGTATGCCTGTAAAGCAGTGTAAAAAGCAGTTAAAGCATTTCTTTGAGCAAAAGTGCCTGCTAATTGCATAAATGTAGTTAGCTGCTAAGGGCAGTTAGCAGTTGTTGTTGTTTTACTTTATGGCCTAAATTGTGACTAGAATTAAAAAATATATATATTCATGCCCATTTTTTGTCCCATACATGAGACTATTTGTCCTATTTTGACTGCTATGCCATCATGGTGAAATTAACCCATCAAAAAATGCTTTAAGACCAATCAGAATCCTCTGTCAGCTGTCGCTGCGGTGTGACTTTTGGTAATCAGTTTTGGCCAATGCTAACAAACATTTTTCATCCAACATCCAGCTGTGCATAGGAAGTCTTTCGCTACTGTGTTGTTTTAAAAAAAAGAGAATTAGCTTTTATTTTAAATCTTGGACCTTATTCTTAAAACAAATGACCAATAAAAAGGTGTAAAGCACCAAAAATTTTTTTGAATATTATTTTGCCTAAAATAGTCTAAAAATGTGGTTATGATGACCATCTAACAAGCTAATTCAGAATAGTGCTTAAAATGTCACTAAAATGCAGTATTTAAAAGTCTTAATTACATGGAAAATGAGGCGTATAATTGCAAAAAGGTCCACTTTTTGCATTAAAAGAGCCACCCCTTTCACCAGACTGGCTATACAGGCCTGCTATTAGTATTTTTAGTATTTCTGATGCAGGTTTTGTGTTACAGCAGGTCAAATTGACCTGCAGCATAATATAAGGGTAAACAGTTTTTCTTTTGAGTAAATACTGTAATATAACAAGCATATCCTGTCATCTGAACAACTGGAATAATTCGATTTGTGTATAAATGTGTGGCACCTGTGGTGGAAAACAAAGCATCATAAATGCCCAGCCACCCATCTGCCGTCTCGCCAACAATAGAAATGCAGGCTTTATTGTTTTGGTAAAGGCTGAGAATGTGTAGATACTATTGTGATAGGCTTTTCCAGGTTTCCTGCTTGACCCGTCCAGTTCTCTGAAGTGTTGCTGCCACCGTGGTGTGTTTGTGCCCCTGATGCTATCTGAAACAACGGCTTCTGCTGTTTGTATTATAATTACTCTCAGATTATGTGAAAACATCCCTGAGGGGATGACCTTGCCACAGTGGGGAAGGCAGCATCCTGGTATTATGTTAGCATAATGAATTTTCAGCTTTATTGAAGAGGGAGGTACATCATCTGACCGCTTTTTCCCACCAAGGTGCTTCAGCAGACATCAGCCCTCCATATTTTTATAGCGGAAATAGAGGAACTTTAAAGGCCTTGCATAATATGAGGAAGTTTGCAGCCTTTGAAGACTTTCCATGGCAGATATTTTAAGCTCTCGTGGCTGTTTTTGTCACTAATATGACTTTGTTTTGGTAATATGGTGTATTTTAACTGTATGATCATTATTTAACCATATATTTTAATCCACATGTGCTGTAATTTGATGTAGTTGTACAAACGTATTAAAGTTAAGGTTTATTGTTTAAAATAAGATGTCTATATGATGTTGATTTTTGTAAAGACAGATACTGTCGCACAAGAAAAATGTCAGACCTGTTTATATCATATAATTGATTTTTTTTTTACATTATTAATAATACTAATATATAGAACTTAATAATAGATGCCCAACCTAATCTTAATTAAAACATTTATTTACATTTTTAAAATATTGTTTTCTTCATTTTTGATTAAATACATAAGAAATTAAATGCATATTTCCATTATTAATAAAACAACAAAAGATAAAATAAAATAAAAATTACCCACTTTTTACTTTTACCCACTGCTTTTAACTGCAGGACCGTAGGAGCTTTAAAAAGAAACTAAACTTTTTCCTTTTTTTATATTTTATTTCTGTTGTATTTTTTTTAAATGTTTTTAAGACATTTTGTTTGTTTTCTTGATTTGATTTTGGTAAAACTTCTTCTGTGGTATTGTAAAGTAAGACATTTCTTAATTTCTGAAATGTATTGGTGTAGTAGCAATCTTTTTTTTTCAGAAAATGCATAAACAGTTGAAGGCAAAATTATTAGATATTTTTATTCCTTTTTTTTAAATATCTAAACAATATTTAATAGAGCAGGGAAAGTTTCACAGTATATCCCATAATATTTTTTTCTTCTGGAAAAAAGTGTTGTTTCTTTTAGTTTGACTGGAATAAAAGTTTTAAAAAATTGTTTTTATTTCTGTTTTAGTTGTTAATTTCAACTTGCCTAGTTAACCTAATTAACCTACTTAAGTCTTTAAATTGCACCTTAAGCACCTATTGAAAAATAACTAAAATATTATGTACTGTCATCATGGCAAAGACAAAATAAATTAGTTATTAAAACTAATGTTTAAAAATGTGTTGAAAAAAATCATGTTTCTGTTAAAGAGCTCTCTGGAAATATTTTTACTGCAACTATATACATTTTAGAAATTGTACCATAATAATCGTGATAATGATTTTTTTAGGACTGCACAATATATTGTTTCAGAATTTATATATATATATATATATATATTGCAGTGTGCAGTCTGCATAGTCACCTCTCAGGATCTGGAATGCTGAGTTAAAATTGTAATTAAGTCAAAAACAGATTACTAGCAAAGTTTAATCCTAATGGAGTGAACGATTTTAAAGTTCTGTGACTGTGTTACTTTGTTCTACTGTATTACTTTATGCTTGTAATTTATTTGTTATGCAGTTGAACTCCCTTTTAATGTAAAATCATGAATTCTTCCCCAATAGAGTTACTCAAATCATCTTTAAAATGATATTCATATAGCAAGAGATATTGCAGTAAAATAATCACAATGTATGTTTTTTCCAATATCATGCAGCCCTGATATTTTTCATAATGGAGCAGCCATACAATAGATTATTTAAACAATGAACTAAATCCATACTCAGTGATGGGTTGCAGCTGGAAGGGCATCCGCTGTGCAAAACATATGCTGAATAAGTTGGTGGTTCATTCCGCTGTGGTGACCCCTGATTAACAAAGGGACTAAGTCGAAGAGCAAATGAATGAATGAATGAAGTAATTATAATTCTGTGTTCAGATCATTTCCATTTATTGTGAAAACATAATAAATGTATCAAATACAGCAAAGATCAAATCATTTTTAAAGCATGATTGACTGAGATGTTGTATTATAAACTTGTCATGCACAATTGTCATCAAGACGAACAGAAAATGTTTTGAGGAAGAAGAACTGAACGAGAAATACTCTTAAACTATGGATCATGACAGATGTGCCTTTCCAACAGCTGTGGCTGAGGATTCCTTACACGTTACACTGAAGGAACTTGGCAGTATTTCAACAAAATCTATGTGCCGATGTATTGTGGTGTGTTGCTGACCTTGCAGCCTGTCAGCAGTACAATATATTATTACTGAATAGCTCACAACATCATGACAACTGACTGTTCACTCACTTAGTGCTTATTCAGTATATCAGCAGCGCTGATGTAGATTCAACCAGAATTTTAACAGCAGTTTATATTAAAAAAAATGCAGAGTATTGGAATCATTTTCAGGTTTAAGTCATGAAATTATTTAAAAATCTTAGTATGTCGGCGCTAATAGCCTAGTGGTTAGTGCGTCGACACATAGCACTGAGGTGCTTGCAGCGACCCGAGTTCGATTCCCGTCTCGAGGTCATTTGCTGATCCTTCCCCTATCTCTCCTCCCCACACTTTCCTGTCTCTACATCTCCACTGTCCTATCAATAAAGGTGAAAACCCCTAAAAAATAAATAATAATAAAAATCTTAGTATAAAGTCTAATATTATAAGAATCTAGTCATAGCAATACTAATTAAAATCTGTAATTATAATGACTGCCCTTATTCCAGACAACGTGCTCTACAATATACACTGTAAATCTTTTCTCGAAGCTTTCCGTGCCAATGACACATTTTTGTGATGTATTTGTTTACACATCATGTGTGGCCATTTTTGACTAGTCAAACCATCTTTGCAACAGATTTTCTTGTTTGAAGCAGAACTCCACCTCAGCAGT